TGTGGTACCATTAAATTAAACTATACGAAGAGCAAGAACAACAAGTGCATAGAATGTTGCTGGGCTTACTGTTTTTATGCAGGCCCGTAAATTATTTTAATTAATTTGGTGCGCAGCTCCCAACTAAAATTGAAGTTACAATTAAATTGAATTCGCTTTAATTGCGAAATCGGCAAATAGCAAATGCTAAAAATTGGACCACTCTTCGGTGTCAGGCATTTTAACTCGAGTAAAAAAACTGTTGGGAGTTTCTGACCGACAGACAGAACATGCGCCGCTGCCGCAAAGCCACAGTTTACTAGACATAGATTTGATTTAAATCCAATTGGTTGCGAATTGACTTTGAGTAAAGAACATCTCGTGAAATTATATTTTTTTTTATACCCTGAACCCATTAAAAATGGGAATAAGGGTATATTGTGTTTGTGCAAAATCCAAATGTATGTAACAGGCAGAAGGAAGCATCTCCGACCCCATAAAGTATATATATTCTTGATCAGCATCAATAGCCGAGTCGATCTAGCCATGTCCGTCTGTCTGTCTGTCCGTCTGTCCGTATGTATGAACGCAAGGATCTCAGGTTCTATAACAGCTAGAGACTTGAAAGAGACTCCTAGTTCCCGCGCAGATCGAGTTTGTTTCCGATAATCGATAACTTACTCCGTTTCCAAGCAATCGATAAAAATCGATATCGATATCCTGTTTTTTTTGGCAAATTTGGTAAATAATAAGAGCTAGAGTCACCAAACTTGAGATATAGCTTCTAAAATAGAATATATGTATATATGCATTTGATGTTGGAAGAAGAGGGTTCAGGGTATCCCCTAGTCGGGAGCTTCCGACTAGAACCTCTTACTTGTAGAAAGCGTGCTGCTAAAAACCAACTGACTCTGGGGTACAAGGGATCTGGTAGCGAGCACATTCGATGACTTCAGTCTTCTTACCTGTTTGATCAAATTAAATAACAAATTAAACATATAATATTAAAATTCGCAAAAGCTTCTGATTTGTAACCGGCGACTGCTCGATTGTCAGCCCGACACTCGAAAGCCTACGCAAAGCACGGGCTCATACCAAAGACAATATACTTACATACATTGTCCTTGCTCAAGCCGTCCCGTCCCGTCTGCACAATTATATGGATTTGTGGATCGAATTGGTCCGTAAAAATGTGTGTTGGCCACCAATCAGTCAGTCTTCCACTTAATCGGTAAAGACAAACTGATATATATATATAAATACATTAGGTGTGCCTGGAAATCAAAACTCGCCAACCAATGGAAAATACAATTGCAAGTAAACCATTGACTAACTAGCATATTTAAGGGCTGCTATTGTACTCTAAACACAGTCGGCAGTAACCGACGGCTACAACCTTACTTGTTTTCGTTAGTTGCTGCTGAAGGATAATTTTAAAGGCAAGCATGACTTTCCCATTCATATATATATTTGTGTTTTCTTCGGCACCAACGGCAGACGGCGTCATCTGGTGCCTTATGATTTAATAAAGTTGCAAGTGTGCGCCGCCTCAATGTGCGGCATACATACGAGAGAAGAAGAATCGTCCACATTATCAATGATACCAACTCCGCCATCGTCAGCGCTGCCGGCCTCTTCTCGGCTCGTTTTCAGCCAGCCATATTATCTGGCTCCGGCCCATGTCGTCGCAGAAAGTAATCTATGCTGTGACGTTGTCGTCATCGTCGGCGGGACATATTAAATTGTGTTAAAACACTTGCGCCCTGCATGTCCCACCGGCTCACAGTCGTTATTTCCATCCTCTATGGCAGCCAGCCCAGCCTGGGCCTCAGCTACACCTCCGCTGCATTTCTGGCAGCTTCAATTTTTGTTGGTGTTTTTCCTTTAATTTCCGTCAAATTAAAACATATGTCACCCATAGCCTACAACGTTTTGAATCATAGCGCATTTAACTTATTGAAACCACGAAAAATACATCCTTATTGTATTATGGCTTTTGTGTTTCTCCGAAGTGACATATTTTCGACCGCAGCTTTAGTTACATATACTGCTCACGATATGGTCAATTGTTTGGAACGGTAGACAACTGTAAATAAATGCATCTATCCATTTCGAACACACTGTTCTTGTTTTCAGCCGCAGCAGCAGCAGTTGTACCGTGAGGCAGCACAGTGGCAAGGCCAGGACTTCACACCAAAATGCTCCACGCTTCATAATTAAAAGCTGCATTCCGAAATTTTTCAATAACAGCTATAAATCAAGCATATGGATGCCATGGGAGCTTGCTATACATAAATAACGTTATACCCACGGGAAGATACACTCACACTCACATCGACTTGTACAAGCACGAACACACAAGCTAATAGCAGCAATAGTTTTTTTTATACCCTGAACCCATTAAAAATGGGTATAAGGTTATATTGTATTTCTGCGTAAGCCAAATGTATGTAACAGGCAGAAGGAAGCATCTCCGACCCCATAAAGTATATATATTCTTGTTCAGCATCAATAGCCGAGTCGATCTAACCATGTCCGTCTGTCTGTCCGTCCGTCCGTCCGTCCGTCCGTATGTATATCGATATCGATATCCTGTTTTTTGGGCAATTTTGGTAAATAATAAGAGCTAGAGTCACCAAACTTGACAAATAGCTTCTAAAATAGAATATATATATGCATTTGATGTTGGAAGAAGAGGGTTCAGGGTATTCCCTAGTCGGGAGATCCCGGCTAGAACCTCTTACTTGTTTTTTTATATAGCAGACTCAGGTTTGGCACGTATCTCGCTGGCAGCAGCTTCATAGATGACCCAGCCAAGCGCGAAACGGCCCAATTGGCTCCTCATTAGTTACGCCTGTGATATTTCCAGTATTAAAAAGTGTTTTATATTCTATACATACACATGAATGCACGTCGCAAGCTGCGCAATTTATGCAGTGTGTGTGCTTCTTCTTGCTCCTTTAAAACAAAATTATGTTTTGAAAATTCATTTTCGTTCAACTTTGTTGCATAGAATATGATCTTTACGAAACTTTACGAAAACAAGTAAATGTAACAAATCGCATTCAACTTCCTTAGACAATATTTTTGTTTTCAATTAAGATAAAAGTGAGAACGTTAAATACTCTTAATCTGTATATACAATACAAGCATTTTATTCTGAATTTGCCACTTAAAGTGTCCAGACTTGGGAATATTCAAAATGGGTCCTCGAACAACAATTGAGCAAAGAGAATTAGTTATAAACCACTTTAAGAACAGTCAACATCAATGTCTCTACAATGCAAAAAGTAATCGAACGTTTCGTTCGTGAGAATCGGGATTAAGAGTTGCAGGCTTTTTTTTAACTGTAAGTAAATACAGTAAGTAATATACAGTTCATTAATAAATATGAACTATTCCACCGCTGAACTATATAGACGCATGTTGACCAATATGCAATTTCAGTACAATGGGATTTTCTACATTATTCAGCTGTCCCTGGCAACGTCGGGTAATTTCTTCTCTAAATGTATACCTATACATATGTACATATATTCGGTACAACAATTGATAGGGATGCGCGCGATTGGTGGGGCAGGGGAGTTGTGGACATTTTACCGGCTTAACGAAAATAAGACGGACAATGTCGCGTCGGAGCATGCAAGTATATAATACTATACATATAAGAGATGATACAACATTTTTCTCCGTAGTGAAGAATTAATTATTTTTTATTTTCTAATACTTCAGGAATTCATTTTCTGAGTATTTATGTATGTAAATAAGAGTCAAAATTCTAACATTTATTAGCCTTTGTGAAGCAGTTTTAACACCAAACATAATATTAGAAATTAAATAAAACCTTATATATATATATATATAAATATCTATAAGATTATTTTCTATCTATTTTATAGGTTTCTAGGAATGACAAGCCTAGTTGAGTACGAAACCAAATTCAGTATCAATTTCTAGGGGATTTTACCGGCACCAAGTGGCTTTCCAGCGTGTTTATTTAATTAAAGCTAGTTTTTTTGCGCGACTGGAAGGTAAATACAAAACGTAAACAAACCGTTTGGCACGTTAGCCGGCCTTAAGTGAAAATTCACCACGAGTTGAAGAGAGAATATTGGCGTGGGTAGATGCGAAAAAGTTGGGCGAACTCAATTTCATCGGTTTTGCCTGTGTCAAGAGAACATAACGGTTACATAGAAGCAGGCGCTGGCAACTTTACGCAGCCGGAAGCATAGCCAATGGTCGCAATAATTGGCAAACAGCCAACGGTAGCATGTTATGGACCACTAGCATAACACGAGCATACCATAAGCTCTCGTAAGCTCAACACGAAGTTGCGGCACGAGTAGGACTTTCAGCGAGAATTCCAACTCACGAGTCGGTTGCCTCGAGTCCGTTCTGTAAGTCAACCAAGCAACAGTTTTGTTTGAAACGTCAACAGAAGCGGTCGCCATGACCCTGTGCGCATTTGTTTTGTCGTGGCTAAATTTACGTCGCGTGTGAATTTCTACGTTAGTTTGTGAAGTGTTTTCAGCAGTTTCCACTGCAAACATTTTTTTTCGTGATTCAAAATTCGATGCCAAAATAACAGAATATAATGCAACAATAACACTGCATGGATGCCTATTGAATTCAGAATAATCTCATAAACCATGTACACAGAATTAGGTGCAAATCGGTAATGTTATAATTGATATGCGGTATGTTATATCGACAATGAAATGTCAACGACGAGAGGCTAAAAGCACGTGTATCATATCTTTAAACAAAATGTCAGAGAATTCCAAAAATCAAATGTAAAGCTAATTTACAGTAATTTGTTCTCATTCCTTAAAATATACAAGACACACACACACACACACAGATACACACAAGGACACGCATTCGAGCGCATAACAGCAACAGGAAGCATATGCACAATGCTTGCAACATTGTTAGTGTAAGCGACTTTAACGATTCTCTCAACAAGTAACAAAACACAAACGCGGACCGAGCACAAAAGCCAAGTGAGAAATGAAATGTTTGACTAATCGTTTCTCGTTTAAATGCCAGCATCAAACCAGCATCAAACCATGGACGTAAGTGCAACGCAAAGCCGTTTAGCTATAAAAAACCGTTGCTCTTGAATGCATATTGAATGAAACTAATACATTTACATTTGAGTTAGCAAAGAAAAGTGCACTGAGGCTGGACATATCGCAAGTGATTCGATTTTGTTATTTCGGCTATTCTATTTCGTTGAACATATAACAAAGTTTGTCAGTTAGTTACAAATTAATACAAAATCGCAAAAAACATGATTAAAATGCAACTTTTTATAGCCTGAATGGGTAAAAAGTGTGTAATGTATTTGTGCAAATGTATGTAATAGGCAGAAGGAAGCATCTCCGACCCTATAAAGTATATATATTCTTGATCAGCATCACAAGCCGAGGCGATCTAGCCATGTCCGTCTCTCTGTTCGTCCGTCCGAAATTTTAGTGTTAGGTCCTCCTAATGCCTGCGCAGATCGAGTTTGTTTCCGATAAACGATAACTTACTCGATTTGCAAGCAATCGATAAAATGCGATATCGACATTTTTTTTAAATTAATCTTTATTACTACAAACGAGCGCGTTGCGAGAACTGCGTTTGATGTTGGAATAAGAGGGTTCAGGGTATCCCCTAGTCGGGAGTTCCCGACTAGAACCTCTTACTTGTTAGGTATGTAACAGACTACATATATAGTACAGACTATTCGGTGCAATAGCAGATCAAGACTGGTGGAAAAGGCGATTTCTAAGTCTGCGATGCTGCAATAGTTTTTAGACTTTCATCGAATGCGATTATAGACGAGCATATATTCAATGATCGTTCGATCATTCGAAATGATGGTTCGTACAGACAGATGAACATATTGCAAGGTAGACGACCCACAATACTTACATAATAATTTAATAAAATTGCTTCAATAAATACATAAGTTCTGTAGGCTATTCAAAGAGTGCCATTTTTTCGTTTTTATACCCTTTGCCGGTTTTAAATTGGTTTATTATGTAAAAAATGTACCCTGGTCTATTAAGTCTCGTGTCCTGCCTCTTGTTTGCAGTAATGCTGCAACCTTACATTTTTGGGACCTTCTAATAACGAAAATTATAAATTTATATGGTTAATGTTTTAAGAGACATTTTTTGTTACTTGCCTTACATAAGCCGTCTTTCGGGGTGATTTCATTTATGTAACCATACATTTCGCAAATCTGTGGTATGCTTGAAGATTTATAAAACTTGTATAAATATAAGTATTTGTTGTCCCTGAACCCATTGAAAATGGGTAAAAGGGGTATAATGTATTTGTGCAAATGTATGTAACAGGCAGAAGGAAGCATCTCCGATAACACAAAGTATATATATTCTTGATCAGCATCAATAGCCGAGTCGATCGAGTCATGTCCGTCTGTTCGTCCGTATATATGAACGCGATGATCTCAGAATCTATAAGAACTACAGACTTGAAATTTGAGATGTAGGTGCTCCTTGTTTCCGATAATCGATAAAAGTTATCGATTTGCAAGCATTCGGAAAAAACCGATATCGTAATCCTGTTTTGAGCAAATTTCTTAGGTTTTTGAGCTAGATCCACACAAATGTGGCATGTAGCTCCTATAATGATATATACAGATGAAATATCTTGTATTATACATAAAAAAACATGGAGCCCGCTATTGATCCTGATCAGGAATATATATGCGTTATGGAATGCTTTCTTTTGCATTCTTACATATATTTGTTGTTGTATCTGCACAAAACCGTAATACCCTTTTAATCCACTTTTAACTGTTTAACTTTATAATTTTTGTAAGGAACACTGTCGCAGGAACAGTTCTTCGTTCTTAATACTGCTTGGTTTTATGATTGTTATTATGACTGTTCCCGGTCTGGCGTATGGTTGCCGCAACATTTACGTTTGTTATGTTTTCTAGGTCTCATATCGTGGTAAGCCAATTTTTATGCCCACTTTGTTTAATTGCCCACACGCACACACACGCCCAGATGAGCTATCAGGATTTTTATGCTGCCGCCGCTAGTTGCGGTGATATTTTGCGTTTGGGTCACCTTCGTTAAAGCCATCGCTTACAGGTGTTAATATTTCAATTAGTTAGCGTTTATGTAGCGAAAAAACTCTTATGTAATGCTTCACGCAACTGTGACATTGGGGCCAAGTCACAATGGGTGTTCGTGCGTACGCTGGTGTGTGGCAAATATTTGTTCCGGCGTGTTAATAAATAATTTTAATTGCCGTCATAAATAGAAAAGGTTTGATTAAAATGCCAGATTTACCAAATGTAACATTTAAGCAACCACATAGCAAGCGCATAATAAGTACATTTTAATTTTCGAACGCCACCAATCATCCTAATAATTCATTTATCAATTGGTTGAGCCAATGTCACGGTGGCAAACTTGGCTAATTGTGCCTCTTTTACGGCTTCCCAGCTCTCATTTCCCTAGAATCAAGAGTCTAAGTCCTAACTTAGAAAGGGTCAGGTATATGAAAAATTCTCTGAGGTTTGATCTTTTTGGAAATCCTGTGATAATCACTTTCTTTTGTTAGAATGGGAAAGTCGCTTAGTTCACGACACTTATTGTATTTGAGCTCTGTCTGTGAAAATAGTCAAAAACGACAAAGTAAGGATATCTTCGGCATGCCGAAGATTTAATGCCCTTATAGACATTTCTCCTTTGCAGATACGTAAAGAAATATGATAGAAAAGACAGAGTTTGATGAAACAGAATATTTTGCCATATAAGAATTTACATTTCGACCCATCTTTAACATGGAAGCTATATGATATAGTGGCCCGATGTTAAAAGGATTTAGCAAATCGGTCGGGAGCATAGTGAACCTTATAAATGGGAAGTTTGGGTAAGATATCTTGATAAACGAGATGTTTTTCATACAAGAACTTACTTTTCGACCGATCGTTCCTATGACAGCTATATGCTAAAGTGGTCCGATGCTAAAACGATTTTCATATTTTTAGGGCACAAACTGAAACTGGTAAATCCCGGTTTGGTTATCTCAAATAACCACAAGTAATGGGCCTTAGTCGGGAGTTCCCGACTAGGGGAAAACCTGAACCATCTTCTACAAACAACGAATGCAGATAACGCCACGAGCTCGTTTGCCTTGGCAGTAATAAAAAAACATTCAAATTAGAAACATTCCCTCCCCCTCTATCCCCTATTAGATTGCACAACTTGCTGCCACTTCTATTTAACAGCCATCCCAACAATTCGTGCTTCTTAACCGATCTTGATCAAAATTCTCAACAGTTGATCTTATTGATCTATAGAATATCCGTATAGTCTCAAGAGCACAATTGCTTTAATATTGTGGCTTAAATTGGTGGGTAGTCTTAATCGATCTATTTATTTCATTTATAGCTAAGGAATGTAGGCGCGGGTCGACGATACCTATAAAATGAAAGACTTATTTACTCCTAAAGCGTACGCGCATCGTAGCGCGAGCTGCATTTTGTGTAGGTAGAAGAGGGCTAAGGGCATTCCCTAGTCGGGCAGAGCCTTCCTATTTGTTATTTTTAGATTCGTAGCTTAAACTTTTGGCAAAGTAATTTGTATGATTTGTAAATTGTGCGATACTTAGTGTATATTATCGCCGAAATGTGTGTTTACACGATCTAAAACATATGTTGCTTTGGTGGCTCACAGATGTATTAAAAGTGATATTCAAATTAAAGAACGTTATCCAATAGGTAGATAAAGTAATATTAATCAAAAAGATTTAAAAAGAAAACATTTTGATTCAAGATTTGATAGTTTCAATTGATATAAGCTAGGTTGGCCGATTATCCCACCGTGTTAAGCCCTGTTCCTAAATGCTTTGTGAAACTAAATTTGACGTGAACTTCATCTCGTTGGTATTCACTTGGTATCCACTTGCGCTCGCCAGTGACAACCTTCTCCCGTGACGGAAATTTGTGTTTTTCCAAAAGTTGTTTGATGCGAATGTGTAGACACGGTAGCTTAAGCAGGCCGTTGAAAAGCACGTACGCATCGAGTGTACCAATTTGTCACGCTCTGGTCGTAGGCAAAATATTTAAGCCAATCGTAAGAAGTCTTTATTTAATACTTGGTCAATCTAGTTCTAAAGCTTTTAATATTTTTCGATTGGCCAAAGAAATGCGATCATATAGACAGACGGACCTGCAGCAAGAGGGAAATCACACGAAATCAATACAGGCTTCTCAGATTATGAAGGAGCATAAATGCACAACAATGCACAAGAATTACAAGTATATATGTTCGATATTGCAGCGGCTAATAGTGTATTTTGAATGTTTTGCCCGGAACTATACGTGATGCATCCCATACGGATACCTCGAAATCTCTTCTACCAACATCAAATACAACAAAAATCAAGAAAGTAACGATATCTTCGGCATGCCGAAGTTTAATAACCCTCTAATCATTTTCCTTTCGCAGACATGTGAGAGCAGTGCAGCTCGAAAATGCTGAGTTTGTTAAAATCTCTTTGAAAACAGAATATTTTGCTTTTACGATCTTTCCTCTTGTAGGTTTATGATATAGTTATTCAATGTAGATAAGGTTTTGCAAATGTGTAGGGAGTATAGAAGAAATCTTGATAAACAAAAAAGTTTTTTCTTACAAGTACATACTTAATTTTCGAACGCACGTTCCTATGGCAGCTTATGATATAGTGGTACGATCCGGCTGGCTCCGACATATGTACTGCCTGCAACATAAAGACAGACCTATGCAAAGTTTTAAGACAATAGCTTTAACACCCAGAAACGGAAAGACGGACACTATATTAACTCGGCTATTGATGCTGATATATTTGTGCACAAATCACTATACCCTTTTATTCATGAACAGTACAGGCATTTGTTAGCTTAAAGTCCTTTGAATACAGCACCAAAAGTTGGAATCAACGGTTTACGTGCATGTTTGTCTTGTGGTGAGAATCTTGAATCCGTAAAATAAGCTTTCGATTGTTAAACCTTTGACCCGCATTTCCCATCCATGCGCCGTAGATTTCGCTAAAAACATATGAAACAAATTTGCACTAAGATCTTTGAAAACTAGTTTGAATAGGATCCGATGGTAAACAAAAATGTTGCAAATTTTCCGCCTAATTTCGAGCCAGGCTTGGAGTTTCCAAAATCCTGTTAACGTCAAAGGGGTGGGTTTTCCATGAATTTTGGAACACACATCAGGTGAATTTGAACATATCTGGAAATGATTTTGAAGCCGGTAATCAAAAAAGTTGCATACAGCCGTTTTGCACGATTCTTTCACATTATGGTGGAACCATCTTAGCGGGTTTCTCCATCACATGCGGTAACTACTTTCAGATTCGTAGCTCTTATGGTTTGGGCAGTTCGTCGCGCACCAATCAGTGAGGACAAACAGTTTTATATAGAGAGATATTTGCTTCACTGCTTACTTTTTTGACAAGGCTATCATGCTCTCAACAACATTGCCATAACAACATTATCCCTTGATTGTGAAAGGTTATTCAGATGCTATAAAGTGACATAAAGTGTGGTTTTTGGATGGATGTGGTCATTATTGATTGTATGGCTCATTTTTTGTAAAGTTAAAAACAAAAGAAAAACCGAGAAACTCCAATTGACCATCGGTTTTATAATTTTTTTTTTTTTAAATAAATATTGTTTGTTTGCATCTGTACGTTGGTAAACTAAATGACATTTATTGTCAGTTTTTGGATCAGCCCGATGCGGATGCAGCTGCAAAAATTTGTCTCTGGCCAAATGTCTTTCCATATTTTTCATGCACAATTTCAGGAAGGGGCTTGAAATGGCTATGGAAATGGAAGGTCGCCTGCATCCTTTGCCTCAGTCACGGTCTCAGTTCGTTCATATATATACATATATATATATATATATATATATATATACATACATATATATATAAAATATATAATGTTTATATGTGTATATGTATATTTGTGCATTTATTTATTTACGTGGCCAGAGCCAGCCGATGGGGTAGGTCCAGTTCGTTGCAGCTCGTCGTCAGAGAAAATAAGAATATTGCAATGGCTGACAAATTTATTTCGTAGCCGTTAGCGGTTTTTCTTTTTTGTCGGCCTTTTTTGCATATGTCAGCCCTGCCATGCATATTAAAATGTTGAAAAACACACATTTACCTTTGCATATTCATTATTAAATACTTTTTGGAGACAATTTATAAATATTATAAGCAAAGGTAAATACATTTAATATTTTTGCGGCTGCTTAAATCTTTAAATTGTGATGAAGTGGTCAGCTTAAATACTATCTACTATTTTACTTTTAATTTTATTGTCTATATTACCATTATATGAAAAGAAAAGACGGCCCAAATCGAAAGTAACCGTCTGAATGACATCAATTACCCAGTTCCGAACTGCCATAATATTCATGCTTCTATATACATAGTTTCTTCCTATAAATCTATATAAAATAGAAGTGGGAGCTTGATAAGACTATATTCAGACATTTTTTTAGAAGAACAGCACATTTATTCGTGGCTTGCCAATATAATGACTCGTTTCCTTTAAAAACTTCTGTGTTTCTTAACCGATCTTGATGAAATTTCTTACAGTAGATCTTTTTGTGCTATAGCATATGCGTATGAATAGAAATAAAACTGTGCCTTTAATTGATGTTTAGTTCCAATTGATTTATTTTTATTAATTTTGCGTAATGTGGTTGGCGTAGGTGCGACGGTTGTCATAAAATGAAATGTACTTGATCTGTACATACAGTTTTAGAAGCTTCATTTAAATTTGGAGACTCTGGCTCTTAAAATCTAAAATATTTTTTCAAAAAACAGAATTTCAATATCGATCTTTATCCATTGCTTTAAAAAGGTGCAAGTTATCGATGTTTAAAGAAAAAGTCGTGATGCGCGGACTGAGATCGGCGATTTCATGCAAACCCTATTCGGCACTAACGACTTTAGCGCCCTGATTCTTGATCCTTATTTCGGAAAATAAGATTTATTTGTAGCTTAAATCGAACTTGTTTCGCAGTTTTTTAGCTAGCGTCATAAAACAAAGCAAACACCGAAGACAGTCTTCTGAATTTTACCTTGGCCAACCTTTTTAGCAACTAAGGATTGGCCAATTTCTGAATGTAGTGTGTATACAAGATATTTTTATTACATATTCAAACGGCTTAAACTCGGATTTGAAAATGTATGCAAAAGCATTTGAGACGATTTTCAGGAGCTTGGCACTGTAGCTTCAGCACTTAAGAACTAGTTTGCATGCAACAGAATATATATATTCTTCATATGTATAAAAAACTAAATGGGACTTCGTGCTCCAGCTCAAATTTGCATTGCATCATTGCCTTCGTTAGTTAGCCAAACGTGAAGTAAACACATTGTGTTCAAAATATTACGTATTTGGGTACATGGAGGAAAAAGGCCATTATGACAATTTGTAAGTTGAGATGAATTAAATATGAAGAGAAAAATACTTTAGCGCTGATAAAGCACACACGCTGCAACAAAATGCCAGGGAAGACATACATATGTCCGCGCGTATAACCTTTAAAAACTACACAGTTACATAAACAGGATAATAAGGCACTTAACATGCACTCTTCGCCATCGCCACTGATGCCACTGCTACAGCTGTTGTCCAACACTATGGCAATGCCGAGTATACCAGGAAAGGCCAGCAAAATATAAAACTGCAAGTCCCGTTAATGAAGGAGCCAGAGGACAGCAACACTGACGACGATGACGCAATAAGGACAACAGCGATACAGGAAAACAAAGCTGCATAAAGTCGCTGCCACTTATGTCAGAGGAAATCAAGCGTTACACTCGACACCATCCCGCTCAGATTACGGAACTCGGGTCATAGAATCCCAGGTGCTGTCGACTCTAGCTTCAAGCCTTTAGCTACTATATGCTTAAACATTTCCCTTGACTTTTATTTTAAATGAGCATCATAAGCATAGCTGAAATTTAAACAAACCTTTCGCTAACAACCCATTATCCCAGCAATCAATAGTTCCCGATCATGGATTTAGATTTTTCATTATAGCGTTCAATAGAATTGACAAGGAAAGCAGGTTACTCAATCAACTCTTTTCTTGTCCGAGACCTCACACTACCAAACCGTCTTGTCTGTCTTGTAAAATATGTCTTACGGCTTTGCAGATATGTAAGAATAGTGATGCTCGTCAAGAACTTGATTTTCGGTCGACTGTTCATATGGCATACATATGATATATGATGGTTCGGAAGATGATAAAATTAAAAATACCAAGATATATTGAAAAACAAAAATGTTATTCATGCAATAATTTACTTTTGATATAGTGTTACGATGTTTAAAAGATTTTGCATATATATGAGAAGCATAGTAAAACTAAAAAATCTTCAGCTTAGTCAAAATATCTTGATAAACAAAATAAATGTTCATACAAGAACCACATTTCCGACTTATCGTTCCTATGGCAGCTATATAATATAATGGTCCGATCCAGCCGCTTCCGACATACGTATTCACTCTTTCATGAGATAGCTTTAAAACTGTGCAAGGGCATAATAATATTTGAAATTGAATAGTTCTGTGTGTTCACTAAGAATCATCATAAATCAAAAAGCTCGCATGTCAAAACAAATAATATTTGTGTGTATCTATGTTGGATGATCGCTTTACTTATCGACTGCGCATATTATATTGCAAGCTCAACACAACATGGCCGAGCAAAAGCTCACGTGAATAAAAATAAATTGCATGGATGTTTAACGGCTGAGCCTTACAATATGGTTGCACGTCCATGGTTTCTTACATCGGCTGTGCCTTACAGTTCATAGAGTCAATCGATGTCAGCAGGTCTGTTAACGTTGATGTTGATATTGCAAAATGTGCTTTTATGTGTTAAATGTTAAAAATTCAATTATTCCATGTACGTGACGATGCTAGTAATTATTCAGCATGATTTCGAAACATGACATAGGGTGATAGAGCTAATATGACCAACTTATTAGGCCTCGCAACTGGGTTTATCCTTGTGACTTCGGTGTTAAGCCCTGCAAACTGCATAGGGAGTTTAAGGTATTTTTTAGGTTTTTGGCAAGGCCTCTCATGGCGACGATGTGAACTTTAGTGGCCCATAACAGGCCCTAGGCCAGGAAGAGCCACGTGACGGCAAAGGCAAAACACAAGAATTACTGTAGCCATGTAAATTAACTTGCTTTCATTAAAATTCTATTCCTGGTGTACACTAGTCGACATAAGTATTTTGACGTGAGAAAAATTGTGCATTTATAAGTTTAACATTTAAACAGCTTTGTAAGAATTCTTCTTTATTTTCTCATTGTTATATATGTATAACAAATACAATCTTAAAAAAAAAATAACCAAACAAATGTATTTTCATAGAACCGTAAAAAGATATAAATTAATTTGTAATTTCATGTGTTGGCATAAGTATTTTGACAAGAATGTTATACTAAGAAAACAATGTTTAAGCTTAACTAAAGTACTAAAATATAGAAGTTAGCAAAATGTATATCCATCTTTGGTTTCAATATTTTTTTGAAGGCTAAATTTTTAATACCTTTTGGAGATATCTCTTCTCAAAGAGAAGTGACCTCAGAAATTGTCTCCTCTCTGGTTTTCTCTTGCGGTATATTACGAGTTCGAGTCCTATTGAGTCCTATTTTCTATTAATTTATTTTTATTTCTGCTAAGACAACTCCCGACTAGAGTCTCTTACATGTTATAAGAGTCAATTAGCAAGTAGTTTAGTCGGTTGAATATAATTGCTATTGCGTAACCGGCAGTAATTTTTTTATTAATGCTGGTATATTCCATTAGTAGAAGGGGTTCAGAGTATCCCTTAGTCAGGCACTGCATTTTATTTGTTTTTTAAATTTATTTCTTCAGCACTAAACATTACTATTTTTCTTCATATTTCATATTTTTATAGATTTCTGAACGCAATAATTTCTTCGCTTTTGATGTATAAGTATCCGCTCTGAAGTTTCAGACAATAATAAACGGCTTGTTGAAGTTATAAGACTCACCGCATTCTTCTAGCTGATGAAATATGGAATTGCTGCAGTTGCTGTGTTACACATGCCTTCTACTTCTTTCGAAGATGCTAGGTGAGTACCTTTGCAATTGATTTATTCCCCCTTTCTACATGGCCATAGACGCTAATAGTTGCAAATAGGCAAGTTTTGTGCTTGTAAACTAAATTTTATGCAAAATGGAAATTGCATGATTCGGTAATAACAACAACAGTGCACTTATCGGGAGCGACCGACTTAGAGATACCCTGAACCCAGCAAATGCATGCCGGTAGCTGGAAATTCAGAAGTGCATTAAAGGTAAAATGTTATCAAATTTGGCAACCACAAAGCTACACAAACGCATAAAAGCTTGAAAACATCGAGAATCTTGTGTAAGTGTGCGTGTATGGCGGGCCCAATGCAGTTTTCAAGCACAAATGCCACCACTTAGGTAACCCGACTAACAATAGTTAATTGAAATGCATAATTTTCCCATAGAAATGGAAAAACATTTCATTATTTTATATTACCCGTACATCGAACGTGATCTCCTCCTGACAAAGGTCGGAGATCAGTTAAACTTCTCTAGCAGCCGATACGCCGACAAGCTGCTTCAGCACCCGAACGCGGCCGCCCGTTTCCATATCGAAATCGTGATTTTTGAGCAAATAACTTAGGTGTTAAGAGCTAAGTCACCACACTTGACTTGTAGCTTCTAGAATAGTATATATATATATATGAAGTATATTTATTTTGTAGCTATCACCAACCCCGCTCTACCCCATTGTCATAAATCAAATAAATTAATCAGTTGGAATAACCAACAAATTTAAGCCAATATTTCTTTTTGAGAGTATATGAATATTCTTAGCTCAATGGGAAACACAAATGTTTTAAAAACAACGCATGTTTTGCCTGGCCACGTGTTTGCGGCAACAAGAGCAAATTGAAAGAATTTCTGTATACATGTACACACACAATGCCCGTCTTTATTGAATTCTATCAACAGCATTGCAATTCCAATTGTGTTGTTTTCAGAGAGGTGTGTGTGCTATGCTATTTCAATACGTTTTTTAATACCCTGAACCCATTAAAAATGGCTAAAAGGGGTATATTGTATATGTGAAAATGTGAAGAAAGCATCAATAGCCGAGTCGATCTAACCAAATCTGTCTGTCTGTCTGTATGTATGAACGCAAGGATCTCAGAACATAAAGGAGCTAGAGACTTAAAGTGTAATAATGTAATTCCTCCTAATGCCCACGCAGTACGAATTTGTTTCCTATAATCGATAACTTTCCACCTTTCCAAGCAATCCATGAAAATCGATATCGAAATTAATTTTTTTAGAAAATCATTTAGCTTTAAGTATGTATATATATATGTATAATAAGTATCTTTCATTTAATAGGTATCGCCACAATTCCATTATATTCTATAAGATCTACTGCTAAAAATTGCATCAAGATTGCGCAAATTACGAGAATTTACATATTCATGTACACACACACATACAATATGCGCGTTGTTATTGAATTACATAAACAACATTGCAATTGTCATTTTATTACTTGCTTCTGTTTGGCTTAGCAACAACAGCTTATCCACTGTGTTTGCAAGATCCAAAGATCCTTTATTGCGTGCTACTAAAGTTTTATAGCCATGAGCACCAAAATCCATTTACTTGCCTTCCTGGCTGAATGTGCCGCACAGGTGATGGCAAAGTGATGCTGTAATTGTCAGGCGTTACCGTTTTTATACCCTTGCAGAGGGTATTATAATTTTGTCGTGAAATGTGTAACGCATAGAAGGAGACATCTCCGACCCCATAAAGTATATATATTCTTGATCAGCATCAACAGCCGAGTCGATATAGCCATGTCCGTCTGTCCGTCTGTCTGTTTCTATGCGAACTAGTCTCTCAGTTTTAAAGCTATCTTAATGCAATTTTGCAGAAGTCCCTCTTTCTGTTGCACGCCGCTCATATGTGAAAACCAGCTGGATCGGACCACTATATCATATAGCTGCCATAGGAACGATCGGTCGAAAATTAAGTTTTTGTATGAAAAAACATTTTGTTTATCAAGATTTCTTGACCAAACTCGGCATTTATTAGTTTTACTTTACTACTCATATATATGCAAAATCCTATTAAGATCGGACCACTATATCATATAGCTGCCATAGGAACGATCGGTCGAAAATTAAGTTGTTGTATGAGAAAACATTTTGTTTATCAAGATATCTTGCCCAAACTCGGCATTAACTATTTTCCCTGTGCTTCTTAGATACAAAGCACTATAAGCATTATAAAAAGGTTGGGTCTGCCAGGGTATGAGATCTTCGGCGTGCCGAAGATAGCCTTTCTTTCTCGTTGTCTCTTGTTGTAGTTTCAGTGTCAAAATGTCAAGCCCTGTCAAATGTCATCGCTTCAGTTCTGCCGTTGTTCTTCTCGTGTCAGGCGACAATAATTGGAGTTCATACATAACGGACTCATTGATATTCGCAGAAAGTCAACAAAAGCATTAAAGAAACGACAAAAGCCAAGTGGCTATGGCTTTTATGTCAGATGCCGAGTCCTGCTTACAGTTGACCCCAGCCTAAATTGGCTCGTTTGTTGTCCCTGTCGTAACAGTAATTGCTAACAAAGCGAGTGATTAACCTAACAATACACACCAGCTCACACACAAAGCCCACTGCAACACTGCCCATCGACAACGCCCATATGCCATTTTCGATGTAGCCTTACCCAATGGAGTCTATGATATATACTCGAGTCGCATGTCAATTCGGACAGGGAGTTGGCATTCCAGCATTTGCCATTTTACATTTTCGTACTTATTCAAAGATAGAACACTGACCAACATTCGAGCAGTCGACGCCTACTAAGTACCAAAGCCGAATAAAACCTATAATGGTAAACGTCATCGATTTGGATTGTCTCTGAACTTAATTAACTTTAAATTGACAATTATTCAAGAAGGAGGAAAGCTGCAATCAGGCGCAGCCGACTGCATAATAATCTTTCTAAATTCAAAACCATCTTAATGAATATTACCCGCTCAAAAATTGTGGATTTTTGTGATGTTAGTGCCGGGGTTGAGTGTGGTTAACGTTTTTTTCTATCTTTAAAAATAATATTGATCTTTACGGATAGCCCTTTATATTATTTATTTTTAAATCAAATTAAATGTTTTTATATTATTAACATGACATTGATAAAGTTGAATAATTCATTTTAATACCCTTGTAAATGGTATTATTACCATCCCATAAGATATATACATACATTCTAGATCAGCACCAATAGCCTAGTTGTTAAGCATCGAAACATAAACACCAATAATTAATTTTCTTGAGTGGGTGGCGACGGAACAAGCACATCCTCTCTTAAGGTAGCCCGTCTCTGTGTTCGGGGTATCTGCAACTCGATTACTCTCGACTGAAGCACACTTATTTTTCTATTATTAAAATGAATTGTTTGTTTCTCAGCTAACATATTTTTGACGTTCTACTAAGTATTATAATTTGTTGGCTTTCAAAAAAGTGCTGTTAAAGCAAATCGAATCAAAAAAGTGAACCAATATCAAAGAAATGCACAACTTACCCACAGGAGTAGGAGCCTTTAAATATATAGTAAGAGCCAGTTAAAATTCCCTTGTTTTACCTGTGTGGGTTTTCCTTACCCATTCCGCTTAATCTACTGCTATTTTTATTTCAGAACATGCAACATTTTTGTATTGGCCTTTTCCGTTAACCTTGCATAACTTCTGCGGCTATTTTTACGGTCGTGACGGACAGAGTATGTATAAACTTTTCGATGCAGTTAGAAGCTAAATTAAAATTGCAAGTTTCGACTGCTGGCTTACGATTGTTGTTACGATGTTTTCGTGAAGCTGTGCGCGTGACTCAAAAAGCCTTCTATGTTGACTTCTGGCTTTTGATTTTACTAATAAAATTGGCAAGTACGTTTTGTCAAAATTCCAAAAATGCTGCTTGAGTATTCCGGTTTAAGCAAATCGAGAAAACATCGTTCTTGTGTTTGTTCGTGTTTTAATACCCAGAAACGGGTATAATGATTTTGTGCTAACTTATATAACTGGCCGAACGAGTAGAGTAAATACATGCAGATGCAGATGCAGATTTTGCGAATGTATGTATAAAACGATACTAGAGTGTTTGTGAAAGCAGCTCAGTGATGGGCTAAGAATATTTTACTTTTTGAATACCTTCCTCTATTCCCCATAAGACTGAAAAATTTCAATTTTCGAGGTGGACCCTTGGTTTTTTGGTAGTTGCACACATTTGGATGGCATATATATTCCCGCAAGTTTCATAAAAATCCAGTTATTTTGAAACCTTTTTCCTGTTTTATTTAATATAAAGCTTGTATGTTTATTTTGGATATATGTATATAGAATACTAGCGGGTATTGTCATCGCCTGGCAAGTAAATAGAGATTGTGACAGTGTTGGTAACTTAAAGTTGGCGCTGAGTTCAGGGTATTTCCTAGTCGGGCTCTTTCGACTAAGTAAGAATGCTCACTTGTTTTTGTGAGACTGAAGTAAGTTTCGCATGCAAAACATGTGTGAAATTGAGGAAAAGCTATCAACTGCCCAAAAGCTTCGTTTTTATTGCTTTTTATTCTTTAAGAAAACACAGAACGTGCCGTCGTGTTCCCTGCTCAAAGTAGCCGTTAGGCAACTGTGTGTATGAAGAGTTATGCTTTGTTGCGTAAATTATACAAAAATTTGACTTTGGGTTTGTTCGCCATGTTTGTGTCAACGATCGGACTGCCTTTCCCGTCATCCGCCAGAGTAAACTTTAACTTTATTTTCTCCAAATTTTGGGCCTTGGTGTGCGCGGCATTTAAGCCCTACACATTTCATGGGGAGCGAAATATAAATTAACAAAATTTCTAAAAGTCTGGGGCAAGCGGCATGCATATGCATGTGTGATTTTATGCATGCATGACTAGAAGGTTGAGAATATCATTGCTAGTTTTCCTTTATAACTTCTATGTTTCTTAGTGATGAAATTTTCTGTAGTAGTTCTTATTGTGCTATAAAATTTTCGTATATATAAACAAAACA